TTTTGAAGTATATAATTTATAAGCAGTGTCTCTATTATTTTTATTGATATTTATAATAAAATAATAATACATGTAATTTTAATTTATTTTCTTAAAAAAAAATTAAAACCAATTCTAAAATTGATAGCAAGTTTGGTGTAAAAGGAAAACTGCCACAAATGAATACAAGAAAGGTTGCGGGGTCAAAAAACAATTATAAGCTTTTACCAAACAATACTTCAAAATACAATCTGGAGTGTTGGATTTCAGCCTCTTCAAAACGCAACAAACTATTATATTATCTGGTGGATAAATCTCAATTCACTCCGAGTCAACATATATCTGAACAAATAAGAGAGCTCCCAATACATATAAACAAACAATGAATGCTAATTTAATTGCATATAAGAGTTGCAATTTCATTAGAATATCATCGGTTTGGCTATGGAGCTATCGGATGGCTCGACTTATAGAACCATCCATAGTTATCCACAAATGGTGCATTGACACATGTCGTGCAATAAATACACATTGGACACATGTTAATACATAAAATTATGGATGGCTGCATAAAGGAACCATCGATGGCTCCATAGCATTTTTGAGAATATCATTTAACAATCACAATTTGTTCTGTCTTCATCATATTTTACCTTTGAAATCGTTAATAAAGGTGAAGTTAATCACATTTACCCAAAAAAAAAAGTGAAAAAGAGCGAAGCAATCTTACCTCCAATTCTAGAAGTGAGTCGTAAGTTTTCTTCTCGATTGTGTCAAAAATTGTAATGCCGCTGATTTTCAGAATCCCAAGCTTAACAACAATCAAGTTCTGCATGGAAAAATAACCTTATTTTGAGATTAATTTTGTTTCTTCTATTTTTTACAAATTCACGAATGTGTTCAGAGTTTATACGTAGAATTATCTATTGCGTATTTAGACACGGTGCCATTCAGTCATTTTATCTTGTAACAAAGTCCGAGATAAAAGAGTATTAAAGACATTTACCAGCTGAAAATTCAACGAGTTGTATGTTTGCACCTCTCCAAGAGTCTGCAAGGTAGCATGAAAAACATAGGTAAAACATTTATCATATTTCATAACGAAAAGTTCTCAAAACATCAATTTTTGCACCGAGTATTCAATACAATCAAGCTCTTAACCTCCAGCTAAAAAAATTAATAATTAAAACCATGTTTAATTCTGTGGCTTACCAATTGCAAACCAATTATATTTAGAAATTGGTTGTTAATTGCATGGGCAATATTAGATTCCTACCTTTCTTTGAAGTCCGTTGACCATCACACCCCTTTCGTCAAACGAAACACTTTCAGACAACCATACCTCAAAGGGTCCCAATACTCGGTCCGTTGTGTTCACAAGATTCAAATTTAACTGCAGAAGATTTTATAAATGTAATTTGACATTTGGATCTCATAATTTTTATGACGGCAATCAAATGAAGGACCTAAGAAAGGAAATTTCAAGTCATGATAGTAGTTGTTACCACGAATGATTTCTCTAAGATAATGGCAGGTGGGATCTCCACTGCATGTAATTCAATCTCCTTGCGAGAAATGGGCTGCAATGGAATTTGCAGTGTGATGGCCATTAATCATGTGAGCCATTTTATCAAAAGCTAATTTAGTAAGTTATAAGCAAAAGGTGCATAACAAAAATTAGAAAATCTAGCAACAAAACACCAATTATAAAGAAGATTCTAGCAAAGATGGATCTCTTCTGATTTTCAGTAATATACCAGTACAATATAAATTGAAAAAACATAAAAGGAAGTGGAGAAGCAGAAAATGACTTGTATGGTGCAATTTTTTGAGATGACAGCTACAGTATTGGAGATGCCATTTTACGGTAATCTTCAGATTTGAACTAGAAAGGGAGATAAAAAGTTCAACTTACATTACCAAGTATATGTTGGGTTTGCAGGCGACCAGGTTCACCCAAATTTGTACGCCATGTTATCTGAAATTTACCTAGAATCTTACTTCCCTCAATTTTCATTTGTGCACCATCAGGTGGCGAAAATTTCAGCTGATACAGATAATTATAAATTCCTCCCCCATGTCTAATGAGAATGGGTTCCTTGAAATTTTCTCTGGAAAAACAAAATACAAACACAAGAGATACAAAAATATAAAAAATGATGCTAACAAATTAGATCCACTAGTATCGTTTTTTTTTTCAAGAATTGAATATCTTATCACTAGCTCTTGAGTAAGTAATATTGCTAAATTACCTTGCTAATGGATTATGATCAAAGGAATTATCAGGAGCTTTTAGCACAGTTGCAACCCAATGCTGAGCTGGCTCGAATTCAACTTGGTCTATATAAAGGTGAGATTTTGTATGATTTTCTAAACAAGCCTCCAAAAACGTTGTGTCCTGAGAGAGTAAATTGAATATATTGAATAGAAGAAATGGTTATCTTGCAGTTGGCCAGCTGCCGCCTGCCAGAGCTCAAATAAAATGCAAATTATTGTTTCCGAAAACAATTTGATTATATGTCCATGGAAACCACTCCAAGGTCCCTTCAGAATAAGGAAAACCAACACTATAACATAGACAAGTAAACACCCTAAAAATCAGACAAAATATCTCAAAAATCCTCATTCTTAACAAATCATGTAGAAATAAATCATTATGCACACGCAAAAAATTTGTTTTTTGGAAGGTGACACACTTACACACCAAAAAACTTTCACCATCTTCAACATACCTTAACATTGCGAACCTGCATTAAAGAAGAGTTACTATCACTTCCTGGAAATCAACATCTAAGGTTATCCAAACATGGAACGTGCAAATTACATGACATGGATATCTTATAATAAAGAGTACCTTTGTCCGTACTGAGATGGGGTTAGAAACTACAAACTTGAAAAACTGTGGGAGATACTTCCTCTCATTTCCACCATCAGTGTAAAGTGCAATGCACACCAAGCTATACAAAACCACCACAATTAAACTAGTTAGAGTACAGTGTGCCACAGAACAAGTGAACCAAAATAAGCACTTCTTTGAATTCCCTTACGTGTGTGCACCAAGTTCTTTCACATCATGCTCCACAATAAAATCGTATCGCCCCCGACACGTACTGATTCAATAGGTGATTTCGATGTATCCAGAAGCAGTATCCTCTATCTTTCTGTTTGGATTTCAGCCTAAACAATCAAATAAAAAATTTCTCATATTTTTGAGTTGCAAACGAAAATAAATTGAATCAAGTTATTCATTCATTCTCCAGTAACTCCACTTTAGCTCATTTGAAAGAAATTCCAAATCTAAACGACTCGGGAAATCACTACATACACAAATGAACATGTATTCTACCTTAATCACAACATCACGAACTTCAAAACTTGAGCTGTTGTTGATACTTATGTAACTGCAGAATGTCTCCCCAAGATATATCGCCCTAGCCCAAGAAAAAATGAAAATGATTGGCCAAATAACACAGTTCATCTAAAATTTATCACCTCACAGTGAGGAGAAACATCAATCAGCACATTTCCAGGTCATAAATTTAAATACATATATATATATATATTGCAATAAATTTATATTTTGTGTATACAAAAACAAAATCGTTTTACTATACAAATTTTGAAAATTTTTCTTTTAAAAACAATTGACAAAAAAAAA